TATGAAAAAAATGCATTTTTCTAACGCATTCCATCTAATTCAACTAACTCCGGAACCGGGGTAATTCAATTAAGATTATTAAAATAAAGATTAATGTATTTTAAGCTACATCTTTGGCTACATATTAATAAAACTTTTATAAAAATATATTTTAAACACAAACATTCGCTTCGCAGAGCAAACAACAAATTTTCTTTTTGCAAAATTTGTTCATTTCGTGCAAAAACACGTCAAAGTCTAGTTTTTGAGATTGGACATGAGGGAACTAAACTTATAACATTTGCCACTGAGGAAAATCTCTTTAAAGGAATAAAATTTTGAGTAAGTACTATAAGAGTAATCACTAAATGAGTTATACAATTTCATGTTGTAGTCTAATAGTCCCCATCCGTTCATTTTTTAAAAACATTAACAATATACGATAACAAAGACACATAAACAAAAAAAATCTATTGGACTTTATTAAGTAAGAACTACACTTACTAGCTAAGTAGAAATCAAATATCTCAGACAATCATATACGATAGTAAAACAAAAACTTTAAGAATAAAAATATTTAGGTGTACCATTTTAAAATTGTGGCATAACTTCTATCATAGATGTGTTCGCAACAAGATGTTACAGCAAACTTAGCGGCAGTCGCTGTTGCGTGCTCAGACACGTTTACGCATGTCTCGCGTGTTTTATTTTTAATGTAGCCTCGATTATTCTACTTACCCCTATATCAATTGATCCCGGTCTCCCCTATTCATGTATCACAAAATAATTACCAAGTCTTTTGCACGTTCTACAGTAATCATTTTATGTAGATTATGATGTAGATTATAATTTATGATAGCGCTACTTAACACAGTGACAAATCGATTCAACTCACAATAATTTCATTAATATTAATAGTAAGAAATTGAAATCATAACACAATACGTACTAATACAACATAAAGGCATATAACAGAGTAATTACGGGAAAATTACTCCCACTCCTTCTATTTTTTCTGCGGCGTAAATCCCAGCACGGCGTATTTGCCGGAATTACCCTAATTAAAATAATGTCAAATTATACTCAAATTGAGTATAATTTGACATAATAATTTTAATAGTGTATAGTCATTATCTGAAAAAAAAATTTTATCTTTAAGATGTTTTTCAACATCTAAAAGATGGTTAAAAAGCTATTTCTTGGAATAACCAATCGAAGAGAAATGATGGAAACGTTCGGTCATCTCGGCCCATTTGCAAGCGTTAGTGGGCCACGAATGAAAAATGTGCTGGCCATTCTTACCTGCTCGCCATAAGGTAATGCGTTCGTATGCACACGTGGAAAACATTCTCGACCATTTCCTCGAAGCGAATATAACGGTGGGGAATTCGCCGTTGGTTGGTACGAAAGAATTATTATGCGAAAAGTTTTCGTATTCCTCGTTTCTTCCCTGATGGACGATTAAAAGTTCCATCCGAGTCGAATTTACAAATTCCTTCGGGGGCCTCCTCGCTGAGGCGTTGGCATTAGAGTTTGCTGCCGTCCAGCGAAATTAACCAGCCTTCTCAAGTCGCTCGAGCCAGATTAGAATTTAAATCTGCAGAAATCTTCCGCATCTAACAACCTAATTCTTTTTATCGCGATTGAGCGTCAAGACGCTCGACGTGAATATTTTTTATGTGTCTAATCAATGATGATTGATAGATACTGATTGTAAGAATAATTCTAAAGAAAACAATCATATAAATAAATTTCAAACTAAAATAGATACGCTCTATTTATTTGAAAAGTCTTGTAAGAAAATGTGTAATTTTTATAAGATCTTTTCTTTTGCATTCAAAAAAAAAAGAAGAGGGAAAAAATGATAATCTTTAAAATATGATTATTTCTAAAAAAATTGATAATCGAAACGAATAGAAGCAACACTTTAAACACTTTATTACTTATTCGTTTAAACAAATTTTAATAAATAGGAATACATCATAAAAACAAACGTGATTATAATTTAAAACGTATAAAAAGAAGAGCATAAGAAACCACCGCACAAGTTATAGTTTGTGATATTTAATTATCATTATATTAATTAAAACATTAGACGTTTCGGCCGCAATCTGACCATCTTCAGTAAATTTCCAATATTCTTAAAACGCAGAGTTACATATAGTTACATATTAAATTCAACCAGAAACGTCTAATGTTTTAATTAATGTAATGATAATTAAATATCACAAACTATAATTTGTGCGGTGGTTTCTTATGCTCTTCTTTTTATACGTTTTAATAAATAGGAATTCGAGGAAGGCTAAAGGTTTGTAAGATTGGATTAATGAGCAAATCAGTACAAACTATTGTGTGCATTCACTTTTGTGTGCATTTTGTAAAGTAATTTACAATTAGTATTCTATAAAGATAAAATGTAACGATATGTTAAAACAAATTGAAACAGGTTGAGACAAAATTCTTTCGAATAACGTTCTTGTGAGTATATAATAATGTTCAAGGAAAAGTTTTCTATCTTTTTGATAGTAATAAGAAATAAGAAAATATACAAGTTTTCTAAAAAGTAAGGAAAAGGAACTTTTCATTATATAAAAGATCTTTTTTTATTGAATTTTGTTATTTCAATATATAAAATGAAATGATTCGTAAGAAATTATTGCTCTTATTCATTTTTATGTGTGGAAAAAATATTACAGTATAAATTACATAAAAAACAAAATTCTTTATTGTCAAATTGGATATATTATAACAAAATTGGCAAGGAATCATAAATATTTTTAGTAACAGGTTTATATATATTTTTCTCTGCTAAAGAATTTATAAATTAACAATTCTTTCTTAAATTTAAGCATTTATTTACTTCTTCTGACTTTTGCAAAATGCGTAATTAATTCCTTCATCAGTATTTAATTATGTAAACAATAAGATTGGAAATAAGACTATTTATATTAAATACATTACTTTAAATACGAAGCGCCATTACGGTCTGAATATTAAGATGTTGAACTATTTTATATATTCATTTAAATGAATTAATTTCAGAACTGATAATTGCGTGCCGATATGGTTGTTGGATTTTCAACTTAATTAATCTGAAATATTTTTAATCCCCCCAAATTTCCCAAATTTAATCTTAAAAAACTGTAATAAACTTATTGCGATAAATATTGCCTCGGCCGGGAATCGAATTCGGATTTCTTGCATTTCGTGTAAGCGTCCTAAGCTTTTAGACTAGAGATCTTAGCAATATTCCTCGCAATAATCGATGTGTATAGAAAGTTAAACATTGTAAGCGAGCGTGTATAAACAATAAGATTGGAAATAAGACGTATCTAACGCTTCGTATTTAAAGTAATGTATTTAACATAAACGGTCTTATTTCCACAATCTTATTGTTTATATACGCTCGCCTACAATGCGTAACTCTCTATACACATCGGTTATTGCGAGGAATATTGCTAAGGTCTCGGTATTTATCGCAATAAGTTTATTACAGATTTTTAAGATTAATTTGGGAAATTTGGGGGGATGTAATTTTGAACTTGATCACTCTTACTTCCTTTATACACTAATAAAAAATATAGTATAATACTAAAAAACAGAAAAATTTCCTTAATTTTATTAAATCATGTGTTTGCATACATCTGAACACAATCTTTAAAAATAAAAAGTTGTAATCATTTATATATGATATCCTCTTTTAATGAAAATCGTTAATTATAGAAAGTATTTTTACGACAATCAACGTACAATCAACGATTGTTTATTTAATTATTATTTTTTAATAATTAATAATTTTCCAATTATATTTCAAGCAAATAATTTTTCTATTAAGTAAATTAGTCTTAATTTGTGAAAACTATTTATTACAACATAATTAATATGTACTAAATTACAACTTTTACTTTCTATCACACACAATTATTGATTTTGCGTAAAAATGAAAGTCTTAAATTTTGAATGTCATTGTTATATTTTTTGATTCAGTATTACAAGTTACACAGAACTAAACGAAATTGTACTGTCAAAACTGTATTTTATTTATTTTCATTTTGAAGCATAGTTTGGGGCATTCGATCTCATGACAACATTTAAATTTTCCTTAAAACATTGAATAATTTTATGATGCTACACCTTTTATTCTCCTTTGTATGCTTTTTTTTTACTTGCAAGAAATATAATATTCATATAGCGGCGGTGCCGATAGTAAGCGACTTTAATGAAGCATTAAAAAAATAAATATTATTATTAAAAAAAGTTGAAAGATTAAATCAATAAAGGGAATAATAAAACCAATGAGAGCTAGCACAATAATCGGGTGTAATCCAAAT